GGCTTTGGCCGGATTGACTAACCTGGACGACGACGTCCATACATACGCGTACACAGACGATGATGATGATGATGATGATGTGCTCAATTGGGTTGAAAAGAAAAGCACTGCGGTGATTACCGGATTCGTGTTTGACATGTGTATAAAGAAAATATATTCGTGAGCAAAATAACATACATGCAAGTACGTATGTACATATATGCATAAATATATGCATATGTATGTGGATAAAAGCAGCTTATATCGTATGCTTGTGTAATTATGAACAATCGCGCCAGCAGCATTGCCGCAAACATGAAGATTAGTCAAGAAAAAAAAAAAATAATAATGATATAAAAATTTTCAAACAAAAATTAATGATTGAATGGAATGTGCGGCTGTTTGAATGGGTGAATATTCCAACACTCTTTAGTATGAATGCTGCTTGGAGCAGATGATCGATACCAATAGGTATTGATGCGCAAAACGAGAGAGAGAGAGAAGGATTATGACTGAAATGCCTGCTGCCAGTCAGCTTATGATATGTGTACTGCCGTCATGAAGACAGTTTTGTGTAAATATGTTTGGCAACACACATCTTCATTCAGCAGCTATTATTCCAGTATCCTTAATCAACTTTATTTTAGCAATAATGACATTTCCTCAGTTAAATTAACGCCAAAAAAAAAAGAAACCTTATTTAAATTAAGGAAAGACGCGTTTTCATCTGGTAAATGTAATCCTAACGAAACGAATGTATGAAAAGATAAATAAAAACGTTTTTTCAGTTTTTTCGATTAAAAAATAGTTTTTTATTATTTCTGATTTTGTTTTGTTTGAGCTTTCACCTCTACTAAGTAAGCTTTCGCTCAAAGCTGAAAAGCTTGCCAGTTACCTTAAATATTTATTTATTTTTATTTTTTGAAACCGCTAAATTGAAGTAAAAATGTATGAGTTTTGGAATCTAATTCATTTGCAACACTTAAAATCCAATTCTAGGAAGCACTGAGCTTACCCGGGAAATTCGGTTGTAGGGAAAAGACGGAGTTTGATGTCTGAAGTCCAAAAATTTTGGAAGTGATTTAACTTTACAGCATTTTCAGACGAGGAATGACTATAATTACTGACACTTTTTTTGTACAATTTTGAATATCTCTGGACAGGATTTGAGGGTGCAGGCAAAAGCTTTCAAAATTAAATTTTCCCTCATCAGTATTATAAATACTACTTAATTTCAAAATATCGCATGTAACATACGGTTTGTTAAACTGAAGCTGCTACGGTGTCTAGGTCATGGCATCCGTACGGACGATACTCCAGCTAGAAGAGGAGGAAGAAGAGAAAGACCTCCATTCCATAGAAAAGGACCTGACCTAATTTGGTGCCTTTAATTGGTGCCGAACAGCGAAAAAGAATTATGGCGATTGAGTTACCGTTATTTGCAAAACAAATGTAATTTCTATCCGATTATTTGCTGTACTGAATCTCGACAATTATTGGTACCTAGTGGTTATAAAAAAGCTCTAAGAACTCTCTGGTCTCCGAGGGTGAATGAGAAAATGATATACTTTTATAAGTATGCCTACATACAAATATCATCTCTTTAATTTATTTTATACATATATTCTACGCTACTTTACCCTACTCTTAAAGTCCTTATCTTTCCAACTCATTTTGTTTCTATTCCCTTTACTCTGCACAAAAGGACAGCAGCTATGTACAACAAAGAAATCTCAGAAAATTTTCATGTTAAAAAATTCAATTTCATATGAATTTTCGTTATGCCATTAGGCCATTGTTTCTCGGCTTGGTTCAGTGGACTTTTTAAGACTTTCGTTTATTTCTTAACAATATTTATTTTCACCTTCTGTTCTGTTGGCATCGTTCGCGCAATGCAAACATTGATGAGTCCCTTTGGGAACCTTTTCTCATACGCAGATATGTACATATGTACATACAATACAAAGCAAATGGATCTCACTACGCGATCGGCATACTTTGAAACGTTTTATTTATTTTTTTTTTTTTTTATTAAAATGTGCACATAAGCAAGTGGTGAATGTGTGAGCTAACGAAGCGAAGAGGAACCGTCAGGAGGGTAGGCTGGCTGACTGGCAAGCAGGCGGTGATTTGGAGTATGAGTGAAGCGAAGCAAAAGTGACGTGTATGGTGCTTAAAGGAAGAGAGTGTACAACGAGCAAACGAGCAAGCAAGCAGTGCGCGCTATATCGCTGCGGCAGACTTTTGTGAAGATTTTTAATGATTGCGCTCGAATTGTTGGCTTTACCTTCTTTGCCCTTTTGGCTGGTCGGTTCATTGGGCTGACTGACTCACTGTTTGAATGGCTGATGGTTTGACTGTTTTACTTTGACGTTTCTTTTTATTTTGTTTACTTTCTTGATATCTCTTTATCCGTATTCCTTTATTGTGTACCTCTTCTTCAATTCTTTCCGATACAAGTTCAACGTGGCTGTGGAACGTGGTATGTGCGCAAGTACATATATATAAGTAAAATAAATCGTAATTTAATTCGTTTACCAGTAAGTTTCTCAAGGCTTTCAGCGCTTACTCACGGCTAGCTATAATACTTTTAAAAGCTGAGATGTGTAAGTCGAACATGTAATTATAGCAACAAATAATGTGCCGCTTAACCCGTTTAGAGAATCAGATTTGCTTTACTATTTTTTAAGTTTTTATTGTTTTTTGTTATTATATTGTTTTTTTTTTTTTTATTTTAGTTTTCGTCGCTTTATATTTTTTATTTCTTCGTATTATTTATATTTTTTTAATATACATGTTTTATTTTTCAATTAATTTTTATTAAATTTTTTTTTAACTTTCTTTATATTTTTTAATTGATCTAATTTTTTTATGAATTTTTTTAAATTAATTTTTTTTTAAATTAATTTTTTTTAAATTAATTTTTTTAAATAGCCAATTTTTTTAAATTAATTTTATTTTCACTTTTTTAATCTAAGATTTTTAGTACCATTTTATATACTTCAAATTTTCATAATTTTTATTTCCTTTTTTCTTTAGTTTTGTATACTTCTCTTTTAATTTATACATGATTTATTTATTTTATTTAAATTTTTTTTTTGGTGTTAAAATTTTCTTATATTATTATTTTTCGGTTTTAACATTTTTTTTTTATATTTTTATAAAATTGGATATTTGTTTATATACGAGGTGTGATCAGAAAATAACCGTTATTTTCAATTCTCGTATCTGATAGTTTTATTTTTTTTACATAAATTTTTGTTGCTTGTTAAGTTTTTAAGTTTTAAATTTTTTTTTATTTTTTCAATAATTTATTTTAATTTTTATAGCCTGCTTTTGCTAATCGAAGCACTCTTTATGTCGCCAAAAATCAAATAAACGCCACGCAAGCTGTCCAATCTAACAACAACAACCTAACAGTTCAAATTAAATATTTTATATTATTTTTCTTTAAATATTCGCTAACCCATCAACAAATTAACAATTAAGCTTAGTAAGTTAGCAGTAGCTAATGAATTAGTGGTCATAAAACAAAACATCAAAGCAAATAAATATATGTACATATGTACATATATATATAATTTCTGTGTGTGTGTGTGTGTGTTTTTTTTTTGACAAAATTGATGCGTATGTCTGTCGTTTAGCGGTCATTGGCAGGCAAAGTGCCTAAACTTCATAGAAACACAAATATATTTGCGTATAGAAGTAGGCAAAAAGCTGTTAGTTGGCAACAACAGCAACAAATGCCCAAAAGCGGCACTATGCTCGCATTATTTCATTGGTAGTCACAATAAAATCACTTCATTGCTTGTAAAGCACAAAAAATAATGGTTATGTAAATTAGTCAGTCTGCAATAATGGTAATGTGGTAGCGATAATAAAGCAAATGAAAACTAAAATGAATTAAGTTGACAACTAGCAAATTAAGCAAATTAAGGGTATGAAGATATGCAAAAACAAAACTATATAAACCAAAAAAACAGATTTAAAAAAGTCATGCCATCGGGAATTTATATATGTATGTATATAGATGTATAATAAAAAAATATTTTTTTCTTGAGTAAAACGGCTTTAGAAAAACATTAACAACAGCAGAAAAAATATTTATGAGTACATTTTTTTCATAAAAAAAGTCCATTTAGCTGTATTAAAATACATAAACAACTCTCAATATTTTCAAAAAATATGCAAACATTATTTTTGAAGCGCCCTTGTTGAAAATTTAATACCTATTAAAGCTGCGTATCGTCAGTCAAACGCTATCAATATTTTTTTTTTTTTGGTGTTTCACGACCTTATATGGGTTTCTGCTGTGGTATTGCGGTTGCAGATAGACGATAAGGCGGCGATAAGTCGCTTTGTTGTCTTAAGAATTGTAAAAAATCTTGTATTATACATTATTTATAAGCATTAAATGATGTGTTTAGGACTTCTTCTTCATTAAAGTGGCAATGGGAATTTAAATATTATTTTTTACTTCTAGTTTTGAGCGAAATTTTTGCAGCTTATAAAGATATACTTTTATTCTCTTATAATGAATTTGAAAATATTAAACTATCTTTAATCAATTTGTTTTTCATTGAAAAAAAATTTACTTTTTTTATAAAACTTCAGCCGTAATTTATTTGAATTTTTCATTTGCGAATACTAATGTAAACAATTTGAAGCATTATTCCATTCCTATTTCTACACTTTCCTTCCAATCTTTTATTAACTTGTCAACACTAATCAAAAATTAACATAACAAGTTTCTTACATTTTTATTTATGATTTTTTTTCTCAGTACTATTGCTGTCACCCGCACATTGTGAGCGTAATTAAAATGCCAAATATGTCGCGCATGCGTAAATACCCAAAATAATCAAATTGTATGGAAATCCATTCAAATTTACGTTATTATGTTGATAATACTTTAATTATGCGTTTATTTGGAACCTACTCCGTTAAAGGTTTTAATTGCAAATTACTACTAGTTCATAACAAAGGCAATTTAATTATAATAAATAACACTTGAAACTTACTTGCAAAAGGAGAGTCCATTGCTTTGTGTAATACAAGTGCCGCCATTTTTACAACCCACTGAGAGACACGAGGAGCCTGCATTAGAAAGAAAATAAAAAGTATTTTAAAATGAGTTCATAACCTATTATATTAAATAGAAAATAACACAAAATAAAGTACAACAAAGTAAAATAAAAAAAATAAAAATCAAAATAAAATAAATTAAAAGAATAAAAAAAATGATATTAACTTCAAAAACAATAAAGAAAAATAAATGAGAAAATAAATAAAAGGAAATAATATTAAAAATAAAACAAAGTTCAAAACATTGAGTAAAATAAAATAAATCAAATAAAATAACTAAGATAAAATAAAATAAAATAGTATAAAATAAAATGCAAATCAAATGAAAGTAAATAAACGAAGGAAAAATATAATATAATACAATTAAATAAAATAGAACAAAATAAAATAAAATCAAATATAAAAAAAATACGAAAAAACAAATAAAATAAAAAAATTAAATAGCATAAATCAAAATAAAATTAAAAAAATACATTAAAAATAACTAAAAAATATGAAAACAATGATATAATGAAAAAAATTAAAAGGAATATAAAAAAATTAGTTGAAAGAAATGTAATACAAAATCAAAAAATATATAAAAATACACAAAAAATTATTCATTAAAATTCTAATAAAAATAAAAAAAATTAAAAAAAAGAATAAACAAAATAAAATTAAAAAAAAGTACAACAAAATAAAATAGGGCGACATAAAATAAAATTAAATAAAAGAAAAGAAACAAAAAAATTAAACGAACTAAAGAAAAATAAAATATAATAAAACAAAATAAAGTAAAACAATTAAATCAAGTCAAACGAAACACAATAATAAATTAAATAAAATAAAAAAACTAAACAATTTCAATCAAAATAAAATAAAATAAAAAAAAACAAATAAACTAACTAAAATATTAAAAAACTAGTTAATATAAGTGTAATAAAAAAATAAAAGATATTCATTAAAATTCCAATAAATATTAATAAAATTACCGAAAAGGCAATAAATTAAGTCACAATTCAACTAACATTGCACACCAAATCAAAAAGAAAAAACAATAAGCCACTATTCCACACACAGCCCTGCCCCTTCGTACTTGCGAGTGTACACATCTAATGCAACAATTCATTTCCCTCAATGATTTGTGGCACACACTCAGCTCTAATGACAACTGCCACTAATTCAATTCAACATTGACGTTGCATGTAAAGAAACAACAATTGTTGCGAGATTATTTGAGATTTTCTGAATTTCACGTGCTAGCAGCAACTCATAAATTTTACAACGGCCGAGACGGTGTCAAAATGCAACAATCAGTCGGTCGGTCGGCCGATTTGCGGTGGTAGCGGCAACATCGCCATTGCCGATTAATTTTGCAATTTTTCTGGCACAATTGGTGAGCCGTGATGGCGCTCAAAGGCTCTGTACAAATATTATAAAATAACAGACATATGTATGTACTTATATTGCAGCAAAAAACACAACAAAAATAAATAATATACCAAAAGACAAAGCGCGAAAGGGCCACAAAAAGCATATAAACACGCGCTGCAAGCTCATAACAGTAACAAAAATAAGAGGAAATTTAATAACAATAAACATAAAATGTACAACAAATATTAAAAGCCAACATGCAATGAATGGCGACTGCAGAAGGCTATGCAGCATGCCGCTGCTGTAAGTACTTGGAGCAACTGCCGGGCAGCAGTTGGCACAGCTGTTAGCTTCTAGGAAGTTTTATAACACATAAACGAGTGCTATTTTGGCGGGGTACAACACGCAGTAGGTGCGCCAACCGTACAATAAACACTGACGTGATATGGCAAATGTCGTTAAGATTACATTTCATTATGGAAGTTGTGCAGTAGTGCGACTTTGATGTCGACAGCGAAACGCGGCTTAGTACACATGCTGGTGCATATCCAAGTACATACAATACATACATATGTTTATATGGATGTGTCTTTCGTAATGGCAAATTTTAGGTGACTAAGAATATGCTTGCCATGATTTGTGTAGAACAAAATTTGCTAACAATAACAAATATGTGGCAACACCGGTGAAATGTTATACTCACAGTCTATTGTGCAACGACAAAAAGAAAACTTTTTATATTGAAAGTAATAATAAAAAAATAAAATTTTAAGAAAATGAAGTGTAATTGACTGAAAACAGGATATTCGTGACGCAGTATTGTGCTTTGAAATACTAAATTCAGAAACTACCGAAACTATTTTGTTACTTTACTGTAAGTTAATGAATTCGTCTTTTATTTTATTTTTCAACATTTTTTTATTATTATGAAGTAAATGAAATAAAATAAAACATATATATATATATAAAATGAAATAAGAAAAACTTAAATTTGTAAATTCAGTTGAGCAATATCTTTTGACCAATTAAGCAAAAAACAAACACACATTAATAATTTTAATTTGTTTCATACTATTTTATTTTTTTATTTTATTTTACCTTTTTTTATTTCATATTATTTTATTTATTTTTTTGTTCTGTTTATTTTATTTTATTTTTTTTATTTTATTTTATTTTATTTTTTTGTTCTGTTTATTTTATTTTATTTTATTTTATTTTATTTTATTTTATTTTATTTTATTTTATTTCATTTTTTTATTTTATTTTATTTTATTTTTTTGTTCTGTTTATTTTATTTTACTTTATTTTATTTTATTTTATTTTATTTTATTTTATTTTATTTCATTTTATTNATTTTATTTTATATTATATAGTTTAATTCATTTTATTTTATTCTTTTATTAATTTTTTATTTTTTTTTATTTAATTTTTTATTTGTTTTTTTTTTTTGGTTATTTTGTATTTTACTTATTTTTCCTTATTGGTTTTCATATGTATCAAATTCAGCACTTATCAATTTTTTTTAGTTATTTCACTTTTTTATATTTAATTTTATTTGTTTCTTTTATGTTAATTTTATTTCTTCTTTTTGTGTTAACATGTGTTTTATGTGCGTATCAGCCTCATCAATGCAAACAAAAGACATCATCAAATTTCCATCAAAGCACGTTGCAACAAAAACAAGTGATAGAAAATCATTATTGCCTGCCTTGTGGCGCGTATTTGGGTTAACAACATCGCGAAATTTTTAAAGAAGCACACAAAAGTAAAATTTTAACGCACATGAAATGCCGGCAAAATAAAATAAAATGTATGTAAGTGTAATAAAAACGGGGAGTGGAAACAACGCACACGCACATGCATGTGAAAGCAGCGAGCTGGCTCGAACAATTCGTCAATTTCAACTGTCAAGTACAAGTGCGAAAGTGCCTGTTGCTTTAAAAAAAAAAGTACTCAAAAAAAGATTAAATTAAAAATAAACTGAAAATAAGCTGAAATAAATCACTGCAACAAAAACAATGAAAAACATTAATTTTGTTAGCATTGTTGTTCGCAACGGGCAACGAGCAGGGTCTCTCTACTACCTGTCATTAAAAGTGGCTTAGTGGCAATAAGAGTCATCAACGAAGATGCGGCAAAACAAATGAACCTACTCTGCAACAGCGCCACTAAACATATGTATAAACATACTTACTATATATGTAAATACATAAATAAAATTCATTGTATATAATAATTTTTGTACACACATACATATATGTAAGTGTATGGTTATGATGCTGACCACCTCCATGCCTGCTCATCTACAAACTTTAAGCTAAGTACGAGTACTCGCTGGAAACCGAGACGCACTTGCTGATCTACCGCCATTAAATATTGAAAGCCACAATTCATTGCTTTCCATCTTAAAAATACCCGTCTATATGTATGTAAATACATACATACATGTGTATACTTGCAAGCATGGTAATAGTTCGCCCATCTCTTTTTTTGAATTTCTCACAGTCTTACGTCTCAGTTTTGCCTCATAAATACTATGGTACGCACATTGTTGTTGCCTTCGTTGAGGTAACATGCAAACAGCCTCAAAATGGGAAAAAATGCTCTGCAACCAACAAGCAACATCAATAACAACATGTTGTAATAACTTTTTAATATTAATAAGCAACAACAGCAGAAGACGCAGAGCAACAGCAATGGCATTAAGAAGGCGCGGAAAAAAAGATGTAATGAAATATATACCAACTAAGAATAACCGGAGCGAAAGAGGCAATAATAAAACAAGGCCAATCGAAGAAGAAAAGGATAGAGGGCTAAATTAAACTTGGAGACACAGTGGTGGCACAAGCTTATATTAAAAGATAATATTTATGAAAATCATTTAAGAAAAAAACAGAATAAGTTAAACAAAATAAATCAAAATTAGTTTCAAGAAAATAAATAAAAATAAAATCAAATAATAGAAAAAAATAAATTAATATTAAGGGGTATTAAGGGAATCAAAAATAAAACAAAAGTAAGCAAAAGATAATTAAAATGAAGTAAAAAAATAATAATAAATGAAAACTAAATATATAAAACTAAAATCAAATAGAAGAAAAAGAAAATATAATATAATGTAACAAAATGCGAAAAATAAATAGATAGAAAATAAATAAAAATATGTGTTATAAAAAAATAAAAATAAACTAAAATGACAAAGTTAATTTATTATATTATTATATATATATTATAAAATTATATTAAATTTAATAACACAACATAAAATAAAATAGAATAATATGAATGAAAGATAGCATAAAAATAGAAAAAAACTAATAAAATAAAAAAATAAATTAAGAATGTACAAATAGAATAAAATAAGATGAAAACAAATTGAAAAAAAAAATTAATAAAAAAGGATTAAAATAAAACAAAATGAAATGAACGGAAGTGAATTAAAATAGTGAAAATAAAATGAATTATGAAATAAATAAATAAACAAAACAAAAATTAAATGGTAAGCCATTTCACCCATTTCCATACCACTGTGCACGTAGTGACGAAATCTTGGCAACTTACGCATACACGGTTTGCGCAACTTCAAGGGCCAAGGGACTACATTTGTACATATGAATGTTACATAGCAACATCGATGAATGACGCGCCCTACAATTCAA